AAGAACAGAGTAAATGTTTTCCAACACATACAGCGAGGTCTCCAGGTCCAGTCTTAGACCATCACTCAACCACTGCAATGTCTGACTCTAGATGTTCTGGTTCTAAAATGCCGTTTTGTATTTTTTATAGATGTAACGGGACCAACAACTTCTTAAAAGTTCCAGGGTTTATTTAGTTTTGGTTTTACTCTTGTGGTTTTGTCTTTATTTTTTGTTTTATCAATAATCAAAGTTCTTAAAAGATAGTGTTGCCCCTAGCAACGCTGTCAACCACACCTAGTTCGCTCAGTCATCGTTGGTGTCCATCTGACACTCAACTTACACTAAAATGTCATGGTAGGTTTCTTTTCTGCAAAGATAGGAGCTAAGACGACTCAGATTTTTTGTGAAGACAGGCCTTGATCTTTAATCAATCCCTGAGCTCTACTGGCTATACTTACCCGCCCTTTTCAAATTCAGGTCACTGATGTTAGCCCACAAAGTGCTCTGTGGAACGCCTCTCATTTATTAATAATTACTAATAGTTTCCCCAAGGCTTACAACTCCACTAAATCACTTGTGTCGCCTAGCAGCACCTAGTTTGGCCTCAAGACAATCTTTTCTCATGTGTCATTCCACAATGGTGGACTGGCCTACTGTGTGCTCACAAAACAAGAAATCCTTGTTTATCTTCAGGAACTTTTGAGAAGAGCAGCTCCTACCAGTGCTTCCCTACTTACTCTACCAGTCTCACATTTCCTGTTCTTTTAATAAAAATATCAGCCAAAGCAGAAGCATAGAGTAGGAGGTAGATCTTTTGTCAGGTTCCTTTAATGTGAAACTAACTATCAGTTTTAGTACCATTGCTACGTGATCATCCAAACAAGAATGTGTCCTGCAAAGACATTCACTTAATGCAATCAGCTGGTTTTCCTTATATTGAAAATGTTGAACCCAACTGACTGCATTATCCGACCTATTTCTTTTTTTTAGATGACATGTTTTGAAAATTGGCTCTATGTAAATAAATTGAATTGAATTTTATTCAGTGAGGAAGATACCCTACTTTTAATACTAGGCTTAAAACTTTCTTTTTGATAAAACTCATAGTTAGATTGGCTCAGGTTATATTGAACCCTCTCTATGGTTATGCTGCTATAGGCCTAAGCTGCTGGAGGACAAAAAAGACCACTTTCCCTCTCTATGCTACATTCTTCCTCTACTCCTTAATTATTTGTACCTAAAGTTATTCTAGTGAAGGTATTAAATTTGTCTTCTTTCCTTGTGCTTTACCAATAGAGGGTGTTTGCATCTGTCTATCCTGACCCACCTGCTGATTTGTTAAAAGACGCCTGGAAACTAACCTTTCAGAAGAGATTACAAACAGGAAGATCTGGTAAATATCTCTGTGGTTGCTGAACTTCTCATGTGGCACTTGTTTAAGTGTTAAAACACAGAACAGCAAGCAACAACCCTGAAACTGACACTGAGGCATAAATCATGTCTCCTGGTCCATCCAGTGTTCTGTCCTCGTTCGTCCTCAGCTGTCCACTCAACAGAAAGGTAATGTTGGCTCGGCAATGAGTGAATCGTTCAAACCAACAAAACATTTCAAGTTACTAAAAACTAATATAAAGTTAGCTTATATTTACTATAGAAACTGCTGGACACAGAGAAATGCTGGCGACAAATGACTTGGCAAGTAATACTTACATCAGAGGTCACAGATTAGTGGACCGGGGTCCGGATCCGGACCCACCTGCTGACTAATCCAGACCCAACCTGATTTAAAAACCTTTATAAAATACAGAATGTTGTCTGACGACAGTGTCTAACTTCACTTGTGCCGCTTCTCCTGTCAGTATGGTAAAGCCCTCCAGAGTGTCCGGCACCAGGCTACACATGATCCAAATTAGCCAATGAGCTGCTGTCAGTCTGGGTTTCTGCTGCTCCTAGCTAAGTTTAGACACAGCAGGCAAACCTGTGGCAAGTCGGGCGATGGGAAAGAAGGAGAAGATGATGAGAAAAAGTGAAAGAAAGTGTGGACTGCTGGAAGAACTACGGTGAACTGGTGACAGAAAAGTGAAACGGTGTGCTCAAAAAAGTAGACCCGGCACATTTTGAGTATGTTTGGCTCAACCTGCTGCTGTGAAGCAGGATTCTCCACCATGAACATAATCAAAAATAAATATGGATCCAGGCTCAAAATTAGCAACTTGATATGTGCTTTAGAATGGCTTTGTCTCCATTCAAACCTAGGTTTAAAGCCTTGCAGGGCAGCATAAAGCCCACTGCGAACATTAAGCCATGAAAAAGAAGGAAAAGAAAAAAAAAAGTCAGTTCAGGTGTTTTGTAAAATAAGTGAATCAAGAAATTGTCTAACTGAATGAGTGTTGTTCTCTACTTAAAACACTTTTGATTTTAAAATGGAATTTTTTTCTTTTTTTTCTATATTTTTTTATTTCAAAACTCTTTGTATAACACAGATGCATAAAAACCTCATTTTATTTCAGTGTTAAATTCTGTTTAAAGTAAGAGATTATAATTAAAAATGTCTCCAGACCTTTACTGGTTGATGATTTTCTTTATTTGGACCCTGCATTTTTAATTGGTTACCCCTGACTTACAGAAAATGTTGCTAATTCACTAAGTCCTGTAGTGCACGAATCGCAGAGTGATTTGTTCAGGGGTGTGGCAGTAATGGTTCTCTTTCTATTGTACCATACAAATAAGGCTGTAATTTATTTGTGGTGTGATTAGACTGTTTTATGACATGAAAAAATTAACACAAAGACAAAACATGCCCTGATTCCTGCAGTATGCTGCTACTGAAAGTGCTGCTGTTTTACTTAGATGTTATATCAATAAACTGAAATAGATGGATGTGACCTGGAATATAATACAGTAGTTTATAAATGAGACAATCTCAACATAATCCCGAAATAGATTCTTTCCATAAGTAATTGAAAAAAGTAATCTAAATTTACAACAGAGTCATATTCTTTCAGTTTTTCATCAGAGCCATCTGACTTCCAGTTTAATTGTCATCCACAGCTGCAGGACAATTATGCCCTCTATGAGAAGATGGCCCAAACATCATACAAATGAAGAAAAACATTGAAACTTTCATTCTGTTTAGAGATCGACTGTTTACTGTATGAATCATGTATCCTTCAGAGAGAACAAGGTATCCAAATATTCTGCCAAAGAATAACTTAACTATTTCTTCTCTTCTCCTCCTTCTCCGAGGACGCAATATCTAATCGGCACATCGTCGTTAGTTCAGTCCAGTTCAAATCAAAACACAGCTTCTCCATCCTACAGATGGGTCTGGTTCTAATACTCCAAAACATCTCATCACCCTGACATTTAAACTAAATGTGAGTTTAATCCAGAGATTAAGCCCAAACCTGGGAATAAGCCTTCAACTTAGTCCAACTTCAGCAAATCCCACCCCCAGCAGCCACAGCTGGAACCACATCTGTAGGCAAAGGTCCAAAACGAGGAACGTTAAAGGAATAGTACGTACATCCAAAACATGATTAGCCTTCATTTTCTACTCACCCCCATGCTGAACAACACTTTGGAGTACTTTTTTGATATCTCAAATGCATCTGGAGATCTGGGAGGCTTCTTGCTGTCTGCTGACATTCAAATAATGGAGGTCTATGGTGCCCGAGGCAGAAAGGTCCATAAAAGTCCACAAAAAACGTGTCAATATTCCTCCATACTGCTCGTCCAATGTATTCCAAGTGTCCTGAGTGGGTAGCGTCCATAATTTACTCGAAACAAAGTCATTTAGAATGTTTTTAGAGCATAAACAGTAGTGTATAGGATTTCCTAAAAGCGCGTGCCTGCGCGTTCATGACGCTACGAAAGCCGGCAGACCAAACCAGATGAAAGTGCGCATTCAGCGTCTGCTCTGCCGATAATGCAAGCGTAGAAGAAGAAATGTGCTGTTTACCTGTGCAAAGAAAGAAACAACGAAAGAAAAATGTCTGAGGACTTCAGTGTTGAGGAAGAGCATGAGTTCTTTGCCGAGCTGAATGCGCACTTTCATCTGGTTTGGTCTGCCGCGGTTTCCGTAGCGTCGTGAACTCGCAGGCGCTTTCAGGAAATCCTATACACTACTGTTTATGCTCTAAAAACATTCTAAATGACTTTGTTTCGAGTAAATTATGGACGCTACCCACTCAGGACACTTGGAATACATTGGACGAGCAGTATGGAGGAATATTGACACGTTTTTTGTGGACTTTTATGGACCTTTCTGCCTCGGGCACCATAGACCTCCATTATTTGAATGTCAGCAGACAGCAAGAAGCCTCCCAGATCTCCAGATGCATTTGAGATATCAAAAAAGTACTCCAGAGTGTTGTTCAGCATGGGGGTGAGTAGAAAATGAAGGCTAATCATGTTTTGGGTGTACTATTCCTTTAAGCTTGCAATGAAACATTTATAACATCTTAGATTTTATTAATCATCCAAACATGTTTTTTTAATCATCCTGGAATGTTTCCTCAGGGTGGAACCTTTACATATTTCTGTACATGCAAATGTTTTGCAAACACATAAATGACACAGAACCACAAATTAAAGGGAAGTCTGGTTGAATATCAGTTGATGATTTCCTCCTCCCATTGGTCTGCAGCATTTCTGAGTAAATCAGTTTGCAGTTTTTCTTAACTCACAGTGTTTGCAGTGTGTTTGCACCTTTCAGTCACTGTAGCTTTATCCTCCCCCCACAAAGTTCTGTTCTGACCTGTTCTGACCAGAGTTCAGTCTCTTAAGAGTTCTGTCACATACAGAGTTCTGATCAGGGTTCCTCTATTAAGGGTTCTGAACATAATTTGTTTTTTCTCCCTAAATCTTTCAGCACAGAGTGCGCCAGCGTGCAAGCAGCAGCCCGCGCCCCTCAGACAGAACCAGGTCAAGGTCAAATCTGGAAGAACCGAACCACAGCTGCCGGTGGGGCGGAACAGGTGGGCGTGCACGCGCACAGGTAAAAACAGGCTACTCACCTGCATGCGCAGTGGCTCCGCGTCCTCGATGACGCTGATGATTGGGACCTGTAGAACCGAAGCCAGCAGGTCCACCTGGAGGAGCTCCTCGCGGGTCTGTGGGAAGGCGAGCGCGGCAGACACTCCTTCCACCAACACGCGCTGACACGCGCACCGGATCAGAGACTCCGGGTCCGCCGCCGCCAGCTGCCGGGACACCAGATCCAGGCTCAGGTTGTAGGGCAGGAAGTTCACCCGCTCGGGGTCCGGGTCTCGGTCCCGATCCTTGTCCCGACTGAGAGCGGCAGCTGCCCGGTTCAGCGCCGCCTGGACCTGGACGCGAGCGTCCCGCTGCGCCGGCAAGAGCGCACCGACGCGCACTGCGTGTCCGATCTGCGCCAGGAGGTGGCAAGGCTGTGGATGGAGGTGGCACTGTGGAACAAGAAGGAGCTGCAGGACGAGAAAGGTTCGGAGAGTTCGGGCAGTCCAGAACCACGAGTACAGGGAGGTGAAATACATCCTGCCGCGCTCTCAGCATCGCTCTGCCGCTCCTGCGCTCCTCTTGACGCTCCGGCGGAAAACAGACTGCCGCTCAGAGGAGGCGGGGAGGAGGGGGTGTGTTACCGGGAGATCCTGGGGAGAAGGAGAAGGAGGGGGGGTGATGCTGAAGGGGGAGACAGTGGAGGAGGGGGAGAGGAGGACCCAGAAATAAGGAGGTTTAAATAGGAAAACAGGGAGGAGGAAGGAGAGGAGATCAGAGTGAGAAGGAGGTGCCTTGGGGAGGATCAGCAGCTCTCTGAGGAGAAGTGAGGAGGAGATCAAAGAGGAGGAGGTGGAAGAGAAAACAGAGAGGAAGATCAAAGAGGACAGGACAGTGTGGAGGTGAGGAGCAACAGCCTCTCCTTGAGGAGGCAGTGTGTTTGTTTATTTGTTTTTTGTTTATTTGTTGTTCAGATGTTGTAGTTTTTTTATGAGGAATGAAAACAAGCCAGAGATCAGATCAGACCTCCTGCTGATCCTGGACCTCCTGCTGATCCTGGACCTCCTGTTAATCCTGACATCCTGCTGATCCTGAACCTCCTGTTGATCCTGCACCTCCTGCTGATCCTAGACCTCCTCCATAGTTCATTGAGAAAAATCCTGTGAGTTTCGAAGGAGGATCCGGTTCCATTCGTCATCCTTAGAACATCACAGCTCAGAGCTTATGTAACTCGGACTCAGTAAATATTCTGTGTGATCCAAACCCGCTACAGAACAACTGGAACAGAACCATCGACATTAATTAGAAAATAAATCCACTGTTTGATCCTCAGCCCGTGAAGCCACGCTTCTTCACTTTATTTCCGCTGTGCAGCATCGGGTCAGCAGAAGTTCACTACAAACATAATCCTATTCTCTAGGAGCCCGGTTTGGTTCTGTTATTGCAGAAGAAATCGACTCACGTTGAGCTTTTTTCCCCTGAAGCTCAGAGTTTTGCCTCAGTTCTCCGCCTCTAGCAGATGCTGTCTCTACATCTAGGAAGCCATCCATCAGAAAGATACTGTTCATTCTGAAGGTCAGGATTGATCCGGTCAGGACGGCAGCTCCAGCTCCTGAGTGACTGTCTGCTGGTTCTGCTTGCTTCCTTTGTTATATTAAATCAGAGGGTTCTGCTGAGATGGAGCCTGGATGTTCTGAAGACACGTCTCAGCTGAAATGTGTGTGAGATAGAAGGCTCCTCTTTGGTCCTGTTCTGACCCAGTTTTATGGCAGAGTTGGCGACAGCAGCACCTGTTAAAAACCTGAACTGACTGTAAATCACCAACAGAACTGATTCACATCCACTGATACCCGGTTCAGTCCAAATCCATTTAAAAGGTTGTAAAAAAAGTAACCCCCACCCTCCCCCGGATGTTTCTGATTTTTTATTTTTATTTTAGTTTTATATGAAACAATCTGCTTTAAAGAAAATTCATTCAGGGCCTTGGAGGGTTTAAGGTTAATGGATCCTTTTTGGCCGTCAGGGAATTTCTTTAATGTTCTTGAACTTCTTTAGATCCGTTCTGATGTTAGAAAGATAAAAACACAGAAGTCTTAACAATAAAGGCATGTTTCATTAAAACGTTCAGAAAGAGATCTGCATTTAATTCAAAGGACCAACAGAAGAAATGGTTCTTCAAAGGGTGGAGATGGTTCCACTCTGATGTGGGTTGGTATATTATCCCACAGCTTTGGGGTAGAAACAGAGAAGGCAATATATCTGAGAAATTTCTAAACTGGACTACAGAACATCAAAAGAATGTTTGACTGTAGTGTTCTTCCTCTGAATAATGTAATATAAGATGTTCTAGGGCTTCCTGGGATGCCTGGCCTGACTCATAGTGAGTCCTTCCACCTTAATCTAGGAACTAGGACTAGGAAAACTTGGCTTGAATCCCAGCCTGGTCTGCCAAGGTCGTAGTGTCCTTGGGAAAGACACTTTCAATTTAATTCAGTTAATTTAAGCGCCAATTCACAAAACAAGTCATCTAAAGGCACTTTACAGTTCACCAGATCATACAGTCGAATTGAATCAAAGTTTTCTATCTAAGGAAAACCAGTTGACTAAATCAACTCGGATGCAATCCCTCACAATAAGCATGCTTATAGCAACAGTGGAGAGGAAAAACTCCCTTTTAACAGGAAGAAACCTCCAGCAGAACCAGAGTCAGTGTGAGCGGCCATCTGCCGAGGCCGACTGGGGTTCAAGGAGACAGAAGCAGAGATACAAAAAGCAACTGTAAAAGGCGGCCCCGTCAAGGAAACACACAGCCAGGCAGATGAGCTCTGAGCCAGCTCCCATGGCAGAGGATGAAGATATCACATTCAGCCAGTCACAGTCAGTGAAACAGGAATACACTGGAAAATAGGCCGATCTCCAACATCTACAAACAAATGTGTTGATGGCAGCAGCACAGCTGATATTTTTCTCCAGGATGGTGTCACAGCCAAACAGGAACAGACGAGGCAAAGCTACTACAAGACAAAGCAGTGAGAGCAGAAGGTTAGAGATTGAACTAACAGATTCTGCAGAGTGGGAGAATACTGATAGAATAAAGCAGAATTATGTAATGGGAGTCCCTATGTCCTCCAGAAGTCTAAGCCTATAGCAGCATAACTATAGAGATAGCTTAGGATCTCAGGATAGAGATAGCTTCATCGGAACTACCAACTGATGTTGTTTAAAGGATGTGGTGGCGCCTGTGTTCTGCAGCCTCGTTACTGTCACTGATCCCAGGGCAGTTGGGGCTACAGTGTACCTCGCCACCATCAGTGTGTGAATTACTGTAGCATAAAATGTTTTGGAGTCCCGACTTTAAAAAGAGCTATGTAAGTAAAAGTAAGTTTACCTTTGTTTAATTTCTACTTGAAGTATATCAAGATTTTTGTTTTAGTAGATAACTGCATCAGAGACAACAAACATCACATACGGTGTTCCCCAAAGATCCTGCTTAGATTTCCCCCTATTCAATATCTACATGCTTCCCCTAACTCTGATCTTAGTATACAATTACATAAGATACCATGACTATGTAGACGGCACAGCTATACATTACAATGTCAGCAGGTGACCATGAACCCATTCAAGCACTGGCTAAATGCATAGAAGGAATCAGCGCATAAATGGGACTAAGTTTTTCTCTGGCTGAATCAAAACAGAACAGAAACCATCTTTGGGGTGTGCAAGTGGCCCAGTGGTTAGTGCACACGACCCATGTACGGAGGCCTTAGTCCTTGACGTGGGCGAGCCGGGTTCAAATCCTTTCCTGAATGTCTCTCCCCTTCTCTCATAACCCCTTTCCTATCAGCCTACTGTCCATTTAAAAACAAAACAAAACACTAGTGCTGTTAAAAAAAAGAAGCTATCTTTGGATCAAATGAAGAGTGTTCATTTCAAAGTTAGCATCCAGCTAGAAACAAGCAATTAGGCTCTAAATCTTGGGATAATGATGGACTCAGATCTGAACTTTAATAAAGACAGGAACAGTCAGCCTTCTATCACCTAAAGAACATCTTCAGGATTAAATGTCTAATGTCTCTGCAGGACCTTGAAAAATAAATTAATATTTAATATAACTGATCCCTGCAAATGGATCAGATACAGCTGCAGCTGATCCAGAATGCTGTGGCCTGCATCCTCACTAGAACTTAGAAAATAGAGCGCATCAGCCCAGTTCTAAGTCCTTCCATTGTCTCCCCATATATAATAGACTTTAACCCTTGATATCCTGGAACATAAAATTATTGACAGAAAATAATAAATAAGAGTCGTCATTGAACATTCTGACAAATATTTTTTAGATTTTTAAGATAAAGTTAAAACCCTCAAGCACCCTCTGCAGGGTGCTTGAGGGTTCATGGGAGTTTGCCCAACCAGTCCACATGTGTTTTGTGGACTTGGAGAAGGCATTTGACCGTGTCCCTCGTGCTGCCCTGTGGGGGGTGCTCCAGGAGTATGGAGTCGGGGGTCCTTTATTAGGGGCCATCCGTTCTCTGTACAAGCGGAGCAGGAGTCTGGTTCCCATTGCCGGCACTAAGTCGGACCTGTTCCCAGTGCATGTTGGACTGCGACAGGGCTGCCCTCTGTCACCGGTCCTGTTCATAACTTTTATGGACAGGATTTCTAGGCGCAGCCAAGGACCGGTGGGGGTCTGGTTTGGGGAACAGCGGATCTCGTCCCTGATTTTTGCGGATGACGTAGTTCTGCTGGCTCCCTCCTGCCAAGACCTACAGCGTGCGCTGGGGCGATTCGCAGCCGAGTGTGAAGCGGCCGGGATGAGAATCAGCAAAA